CTCCAGCTCACCCACTGCCAGTGCCTTGCTCTGTGTTGTCTGGCAGCACTACTCCAGCTCACCCACTGCCAGTGCCTTGCTCTGTGTTGTCTGGCAGCACTACTCCAGCTCACCCACTGCCAGTGCCTTGCTCTGTGTTGTCTGGCAGCACTACTCCAGCTCACCCACTGCCAGTGCCTTGCTCTGTGTTGTCTGGCAGCACTACTCCAGCTCACCCACTGCCAGTGCCTTGCTCTGTGTTGTCTGGCAGCACTACTCCAGCTCACCCACTGCCAGTGCCTTGCTCTGTGTTGTCTGGCAGCACTACTCCAGCTCACCCACTGCCAGTGCCTTGCTCTGTGTTGTCTGGCAGCACTACTCCAGCTCACCCACTGCCAGTGCCTTGCTCTGTGTTGTCTGGCAGCACTACTCCAGCTCACCCACTGCCAGTGCCTTGCTCTGTGTTGTCTGGCAGCACTACTCCAGCTCACCCACTGCCAGTGCCTTGCTCTGTGTTGTCTGGCAGCACTACTCCAGCTCACCCACTGCCAGTGCCTTGCTCTGTGTTGTCTGGCAGCACTACTCCAGCTCACCCACTGCCAGTGCCTTGCTCTGTGTTGTCTGGCAGCACTACTCCAGCTCACCCACTGCCAGTGCCTTGCTCTGTGTTGTCTGGCAGCACTACTCCAGCTCACCCACTGCCAGTGCCTTGCTCTGTGTTGTCTGGCAGCACTACTCCAGCTCACCCACTGCCAGTGCCTTGCTCTGTGTTGTCTGGCAGCACTACTCCAGCTCACCCACTGCCAGTGCCTTGCTCTGTGTTGTCTGGCAGCACTACTCCAGCTCACCCACTGCCAGTGCCTTGCTCTGTGTTGTCTGGCAGCACTACTCCAGCTCACCCACTGCCAGTGCCTTGCTCTGTGTTGTCTGGCAGCACTACTCCAGCTCACCCACTGCCAGTGCCTTGCTCTGTGTTGTCTGGCAGCACTACTCCAGCTCACCCACTGCCAGTGCCTTGCTCTGTGTTGTCTGGCAGCACTACTCCAGCTCACCCACTGCCAGTGCCTTGCTCTGTGTTGTCTGGCAGCACTACTCCAGCTCACCCACTGCCAGTGCCTTGCTCTGTGTTGTCTGGCAGCACTACTCCAGCTCACCCACTGCCAGTGCCTTGCTCTGTGTTGTCTGGCAGCACTACTCCAGCTCACCCACTGCCAGTGCCTTGCTCTGTGTTGTCTGGCAGCACTACTCCAGCTCACCCACTGCCAGTGCCTTGCTCTGTGTTGTCTGGCAGCACTACTCCAGCTCACCCACTGCCAGTGCCTTGCTCTGTGTTGTCTGGCAGCACTACTCCAGCTCACCCACTGCCAGTGCCTTGCTCTGTGTTGTCTGGCAGCACTACTCCAGCTCACCCACTGCCAGTGCCTTGCTCTGTGTTGTCTGGCAGCACTACTCCAGCTCACCCACTGCCAGTGCCTTGCTCTGTGTTGTCTGGCAGCACTACTCCAGCTCACCCACTGCCAGTGCCTTGCTCTGTGTTGTCTGGCAGCACTACTCCAGCTCACCCACTGCCAGTGCCTTGCTCTGTGTTGTCTGGCAGCACTACTCCAGCTCACCCACTGCCAGTGCCTTGCTCTGTGTTGTCTGGCAGCACTACTCCAGCTCACCCACTGCCAGTGCCTTGCTCTGTGTTGTCTGGCAGCACTACTCCAGCTCACCCACTGCCAGTGCCTTGCTCTGTGTTGTCTGGCAGCACTACTCCAGCTCACCCACTGCCAGTGCCTTGCTCTGTGTTGTCTGGCAGCACTACTCCAGCTCACCCACTGCCAGTGCCTTGCTCTGTGTTGTCTGGCAGCACTACTCCAGCTCACCCACTGCCAGTGCCTTGCTCTGTGTTGTCTGGCAGCACTACTCCAGCTCACCCACTGCCAGTGCCTTGCTCTGTGTTGTCTGGCAGCACTACTCCAGCTCACCCACTGCCAGTGCCTTGCTCTGTGTTGTCTGGCAGCACTACTCCAGCTCACCCACTGCCAGTGCCTTGCTCTGTGTTGTCTGGCAGCACTACTCCAGCTCACCCACTGCCAGTGCCTTGCTCTGTGTTGTCTGGCAGCACTACTCCAGCTCACCCACTGCCAGTGCCTTGCTCTGTGTTGTCTGGCAGCACTACTCCAGCTCACCCACTGCCAGTGCCTTGCTCTGTGTTGTCTGGCAGCACTACTCCAGCTCACCCACTGCCAGTGCCTTGCTCTGTGTTGTCTGGCAGCACTACTCCAGCTCACCCACTGCCAGTGCCTTGCTCTGTGTTGTCTGGCAGCACTACTCCAGCTCACCCACTGCCAGTGCCTTGCTCTGTGTTGTCTGGCAGCACTACTCCAGCTCACCCACTGCCAGTGCCTTGCTCTGTGTTGTCTGGCAGCACTACTCCAGCTCACCCACTGCCAGTGCCTTGCTCTGTGTTGTCTGGCAGCACTACTCCAGCTCACCCACTGCCAGTGCCTTGCTCTGTGTTGTCTGGCAGCACTACTCCTGCTCACCCACTGCCAGTGCCTTGCTCTGTGTTGTCTGGCAGCACTACTCCAGCTCACCCACTGCCAGTGCCTTGCTCTGTGTTGTCTGGCAGCACTACTCCAGCTCACGCACTGCCAGTGCCTTGCTCTGTGTTGTCTGGCAGCACTACTCCAGCTCACCCACTGCCAGTGCCTTGCTCTGTGTTGTCTGGCAGCACTACTCCAGCTCACCCACTGCCAGTGCCTTGCTCTGTGTTGTCTGGCAGCACTACTCCAGCTCACCCACTGCCAGTGCCTTGCTCTGTGTTGTCTGGCAGCACTACTCCAGCTCACCCACTGCCAGTGCCTTGCTCTGTGTTGTCTGGCAGCACTACTCCAGCTCACCCACTGCCAGTGCCTTGCTCTGTGTTGTCTGGCAGCACTACTCCAGTTGCAACTTCAGAACACGCGAACTTCGATGGTTCTGATCTTCCGACACTGGTGGATTGTGCAGATTCTCACTCGTTCAAACAAACACGCTCATCGGCAGCAGCAGGGGGATGGCTTTCAAGTAGCTGCCTGCGCTGGTGTTGGAATAACTGCGTGGCAGAAAATCGTGGGAGGCGTGGAGGGTGAAAACGGCTATTCGACAGAAGAACACGCTGTCGGCCTCGCCGCCACGTTATCTGTACTGTGGGATGCCTCCACGAATGTGGACCGAACCCAGTGGCAGACGGGCGCAACATCTGCTGCGAGAGGAACTTCTACGGCCATGGCAACTTCTACTGCCAACTCGGTCCCTGCTGCCACCGCCTCATCTGCTGCCGCGTCATCTTCTGCAGCAGCCGTGTCAACTGCCGCCCTCGATGCCCTTGTGACGCTTGCAGCCTCGGTTGCTTGCGTTGCAGTTGAGGCGATGAGGTCGGTCAAGGATCAAGAGCATGACAAGGAAGCGTGGATTGTGCCCCTGCCGAATGCGCTGCTGAATGCGCTTCCGGCAGAGTCGCATGCGGGCGGAGATAAGAAGCGGATGACGAGGGTCGTGGCAAAGGTGGTGACCGCTTGGTGCCTATGCAGCATGGCATCAAGAGGGCTTCGCCAGCACCAGGGCGTCGGCCTCGGAGTCCTGCAGAAGAAATTGGGCAGCCGGGACACTACAACCGGATCGGATAAGGAGAAGAAGACCAGAAAGTCGTCCGCGAAGGGGAAGGCGACAAAGGAGGCGTCGACGGAAGAGAACACCAGCCCCGGCGTGCAGGAGTGATAGACTGGGTTAGGGTTTTTTGTGGAGCGTATAGGACCGCTGTATAAGTTGTTTTTTTTCCATGTTTTTGAAATACCCTGTATAAACATTGGTGCTGTTGTATCCAAGACCAACATGACTGTTTTCTTTGGTTGCAAATCAAAAGTACAGTAGCGAATGTTGTGAGCCGCGTATGAATGTAGAAATGCTGGTTAAGCATCACACCATGAACGTGAGCGCGAGCCGAATATTATATTCGCCTTCTACAACACTTGTTCTGCACTTCATACTCCAAAACAACACAATCCCTAGCGACAAATGGTCTTCCACAGCTGATGGCCGAAGCGGAGCCTATGCATACGATGAAAGCCACCATCGCCATTGTTTGGCGACATGTGGTCTTCGACACAGACAGCTGGAAATCCGCAGAGGTTGAAGATCGACGACGTCATCGCCCTACTGTATAGACTACGTATGCGACATTATCACGAATGGGCTACCAGCAACGCATAAAATTTTGTCATTAGGAGTACCTTGGTACGAGTCGTATACGACATCCCTATGCACTAACCATTCTTCTGTGGAGTTTGAATTCATCGACGCCTTATCGTGGCGCTAAATCGTATGCTACACTTTACCGCAGAAAAACTTCGTAGAGAAAAAATCATCTCATTTGTATAGCGTGTGGCATAAGAACACACATCTACGATTATGAATGTGCCTAGAGAAGATGGAAAACCGCTTAGGCCGAACATCAGAGACCTCAGCGCACAATGCGGTTGAGTAAAAGACTTTTCGGCATCCAATCGCAAAAGCTAACCCTACGCATAAAATCACGTCGTGGATAGGGATCTCCATACTACGAGTACAATATGACACTCCTATGCCCTGGAACATATGCAGAAAGTGAACTCATCGACGCCGATCCGTATAGTAAAATCGTTACCGACACGAGACCGCAGACACAAATCTCAGTGCATAACATCACTGACGATTTCGGCAACGCGTATCTACAAGTAACAGCCGAAGAGCACGCCGCCACAATGTTTTATGTGACACAACGATATGAGAAACCTAATGCGAGACAAAACCGCATAGACTTCCACAGAGTGCATTTGATATAGCAGAGACCTGGAAAACAATCTACGACAAACACCTTGTACAGAGCAGAAGGTGGCATACAAGCCCGAGAAATGGCCTTCTAGATAGACACTAAAGTGCAAATCGTATTCAAGGAGCAATAGCCACAATTAAACAGCACTAGCCTAAAGCAACATCCCGCCCCATTTCTGCGCCTAGCGTTTCGACGCATCGCCCTTCGCCTTTTCCAATTCCGCCTTCTTCGTCGCATCGGTTCGTTTTTTCTCCTCTTCCGCCTTCTCCTTAGCCAGTTGTTCCTTGTGGATCTCCTCCCACCTATCATCCCCAAACAGCGATGTTGCCCACTCCTTGTCCCTCAGGCCTTTATTGACTAGCAGCCAGCTCACTTTACATTGCGCCAAGTCGTTGACGGTCCTCTTTTCCGTCGACGAACCGGTTTTTTGTTTCTTGTTGGGCGGAGTCTCTTGAAGCACCGCCAGGCCGTTGGTGAATTCGGTGAAGTTGCACAAGGCGAACACCTCGTCCAGCAGCTTAACGGTCGTTGCGGTCGCCGCCTCGGAGCTGTCTTTTCTTAACGTCACCACGGAGACCATGACACGATGCACGAGACGCATCTTTCGCTCGCATGCACCCACAGTCATCGCGGGCTTACCTTTCGCCGCGAACCGGGAATATGCGGTGATGAAGCTGTTGTTCTTGTTCGTATCCCGGCCGAACTCTGCACAGACTTCGGCCAGTGTCTTGCCGCCCATGATCTGGCTTGGCTGCACCCACAGTTTCCAGGCAGCAGCAACAGTTTCGGCTTCGCGCCAAGACACAACGACCACGTAGAAGAAATCTTCCACCGCAACTGGTGCTTTGGATGCGTCCGCTGCCTGGCGTGCACCCCCTTCCACACTCTTCGATGATCCGTCGACCTCAGCAGAGGCGTTTGCAGCGTCAGCCCTGGCCGCAACAGACCTCTTGAAAGCTTCGAACTCGGCCATGAGCCGAGCTTTATCCGCTCGCTCAGCATCGAGCTCCTCCCTCAGCTTCGCGTTCTCCATCGCCAACTGCATTGCACGTCCTCACAATATCCCAAGATCCTCCCTGAGCATATTGGCGGTGAGATACAGCTTCTGCATCTTCTCCTCGGCGGTCGTGCGAAAGATAGCATCCTGCAGAAACAATACCGTAAGAACTCTGCACAAACGGAAAATCTGTCTACCACTAATAGCACACACTTACTGCTTTGGCAGTGGTTTGGGCGGTCGCACGAAGCTTCTCGCCCTCCATGTGAAAGCTAGCGACCAGGTACGCCCACTTTTGGAACAGCGGGTGGTTGCACAGGGGGCTCATCTGCACATATGGATGCCGCTGGCAATTGCACCGCGGGATTCTCACGCCGTGCTGATGGCAGAACGCCCACATCATAGCCAGATCCTGTGCAACAACGAGGCGGCCGACGGTGGCGAGGGTCTCAAGGAACCTCACCCCCGCATAGTGCCTCTTCAGCGGGTCGGTCTGCGCATCGTTCCATGCTTGGGCCTGAGGGGACGAGTAGGCAGGAGAAATGCGACGCTTCATATTTGCGTATAAAAATACATTTGCGAACGCAGATAGTCGACACTCGCACGTACCTTCTTCCAACCCTCCTCGACCCAGGGGAAGATGTGAAGCCTCAAGAGATCCAGGAGCTGCAACCACTCATCCTTCTCCTTATCCTTATGACGCGGAAGCTTAGCGCGGGCTCTGCCGATGTAGTAGTCTCCACGATCTCCGCTGAATCCTGCCAGCAGCCAAACCGGCTTGAACGGAATGCCCATAACATAAGATCTCCGCATCTCCCCCTGCGCCCATCCGCCCAAAGTGCCATTGTCGTTGTCGGAGCAACCGTCGTCATGGAGTATTTGGGCTCCAGATCTGCGGAACGCATGTGTCACCTTGCTCAGAATCCATTCCGCCTTCTTCATGGCCCAGCGAATCCAGGTGCAGTGCGTTGTGTAGTGCATCGCATCTTGCTTCTGCTTTCCCTTGTCACTATTCTTCTTCAAGCAAAAGAAGAGGTGCGCTTTAGTCCACTTGATCGGTTCAGAAAAGTCGAGAGGCTCGACGATACCGGGGCCGTAGCGCAGAGGGACGAGGTCGTAGATGAAATGAAGCCACAAGAAAACATGGCCCATCCCGCAGAGCCGCCAGTCCCTATGCCTTGCAAGAAACTGGTGACTCAGCTTGTTGCTGGGGTTGGTCTTCGACTTCCTGGAAACCACGACGAGTACGAAAACGTCCAAAAATTCGTCGAGGTGTGATGTGCTCCGCGTCATGCGGACAAACATGTTCCCAAGGCGAATCTTTCGAATGCTGCACCCTCTGCCCAGAAATTGGTGACCGAGGTGCATCATTACCGGGACTTGCAGAGCCTTCCAGAGAGGAAGCGAGATTTGTGCCGGAGGCGACCGCCACCAGATCTCTTCGAGTTGTTTCCGCAGAACGGTCAGATGCAGCGTCCTATACTGGCTTGCCGTATAGCAATCGCCAATTGATCCGCGGGTTTGATCGCGACCATCTCTGCATAGAATAGCACAGAAATTATGTAAACCATGTAGAGAAACAATAGCAGAAGCAGAAAACACACGTTGAAGTTACTCACGCGACTTGCTCGTCGTCGAGATCCTTCAACTTCACTTTGAGCCAATCCCTAGCATCCTTGATCCAGTCCTTGGTCAGTGTGATGGAGAAGCCGTAGAGCCTCGCCTCGCATCTGGCAAGGCATCCCATTGCGTTCATCTTTGCCTTGATCATTGAAGCCGTGCTCCCCTTTGGCTCCTTCCCCACATATTTGTCAACGTCTGGCCGGATTTTTCTACGCAAAATCTTTGCCTGAGCGTCTGTTTCGCAGAAGAGAAACTCGATGTATCGACCGAGCCTCCATTCCGTGAGTCGCGGCCCGTGCAGATGAATCTCCCACTCGTCAGAGCTGCACGACCACCCATCATTTCCCAAGTTGTTGTTCAGAAGAAACCCAACCTCGTCGTGCAGAGAGGGAGCCAGCCTATCGGCCACAGGGACATCCACCATCGTTGCCATGAAGATTATCACCCACCATTTGAAGTGTAGAAAGTGGAAAAAATAGTGCCTTCTCGTGTCGTGCTCTATCAGTCGAAGCGGGATTGTTGAACGCCGCATCCTGCTCTCCTTCTCCGCAACCTCGGCCTGCCGCTGCGCATTTCCGGCGGCCGCACCCTGCTCGACATGGCTCGCAGATTCGACTTGACGTACATGGCTCGCAGAAATGACTGGACGTCCTCGTCGCGATGATTCTCCCTCTTCTTCTGCGTCAGAATGATCTTTATCCTCGTCGTACCGTTCTTCGGGCTCACCGGGTCGTGGGCGCACTCCATCGCCTCCCGGACCTCCACTCCCCTCACTCTCCTCGACTTCAATCCGGATGGATGGTTCGTATAGACCACCCTGAAACAAATCTTCGTCGGTCGTTTCAAACTCGCGATCGTTCTCGCGATCCTGTGCGTAGTCTTGTGTCAAACATTATATATGTTGTGTTTGTTTAGGCTATAGTGGGTTAGCCTATAGGGGGGTCACAACATTAGGGTTTCATATTTGTACTCACAATCCTTTCTAGTTCACCATTCCAGTCTGTTATTTTTGACATGGTTTCAGAGCAGGTCCGTCGCTAGGACTGTTCTTAGGGCCCACCTACCTACCTACCTACCTACTGTGCGCCTCGTGCGCCTGCGCGTCCTAGAGCGCTCCTTACCTACCTACCACGCGCACGCAGCTCGCTAGCCGCCCGCGCGTGGCTTTCCTTTTTTTTACCGCGCGCGCCGTACTAGCCGCTCGCGCGCGGCCGTTTTCACGCGTGCGCCCCGCCAGCTGCCCGCGCGCGCTTTATTTTCTTCGCGCGCGGCCCGTCACGCTGCCTCCCCGCTGCCCGCGCGCCTTTGCGCTGCTGCCCGTGCGCCTCGTGGCCTCGCGCACTGCCCGCCGCTGCCCTGTGCGCCACGCTGACGCACCCGCTGCTGCAGCCGCCCGTCGCCTGCTCGCGCACGCCCCGCAGGCCCGCAGCCCGCCGTCGCAGAGGCCGCCCGTCCGCAGCCGCCCGTCGCCTGCTCGCGCACGCCCCGCAGCCGCCCGTCGCCTGCTCGCGCACGCCCCGCAGCCGCCCGTCGCCTGCTCGCGCACGCCCCGCTGCCCGCAGCCGCCCGTGCGCCGCTGCCACTGCCGCACGTGCGCATACGCAGCTGCCGCCCGTGCGCTGCTTCCGCTGCTGCTTGCGCACCGCCGCCTCCTGCCGTCGCCGCACGTGCACTGCTGCCGCCCGTGCGCCGCCGCTGCCCCTACGCTACCGCTGCCCGTGCGCCGCCGCTGCCCGTGCGCCGCTGCTGCCCGTGCGTCGCTGCCGCTCGTGCACATACGCCGCTGCTGCCCGAGTGCTGCTGCCGCTGCTACTTGTGCACCGCTCGCAGCCGCTGCCACCAGTGCGCCGTTGCAGCTCCTGCTGCCACGCTCCCTACTACTGCCGCTCGTGTGCCACTACGGACAGTCGACCCCGCCCGCGCCTTACCTAGCGGCCCCGCCGGCCCCGTTGACCCTACGCACACCTTTCCAGCGGCCTAGTTCCTACTCCTACTACTGTCACTATGGCTAGTCCTCTCGTTCTAGCTTTCGATGCCGAGGGCCGTCCGGTGAAGTTCGAAACCTGGCTAGATGACCTGCACCTGTTCCTACAGCTCACTGCCAAGGAAGACATTTCGCTGTACAACCACGCCCTAGGCCATGCTTCTGCCCCTGACACGTCTGCTGACAGCACTCTACGCTCTCAGTGGCAGACTCGTGATGCGCACGCTCGCTTTGCTATTCGCAACTCCCTGCCGCTAGACGAGCGCGAGCACTTCGGCCAGTGCAAGACTGCTAAGGACCTCTACACCGCTGTAGTTGCCTGTTACTCCTCACCCGCTTCTGCTACGCTAGGCCGCCTCACTCTCCCCTACCTGTTCCCCGACCTAGCCTCCTTTCACACTGTCGCAGACCTCATCACCCACCTTAAGACTAGTGAGGCCCGCTTTCGCGCTGCTATGCCTGCCGAGTTTCTCACTAGCAACCCCCCCCCGCTCTGGATCACTCTCTACCACATTGTCACCCGCCTCCCTGACTCTCTGCGCGCAGTCAGGGACCACTTCCTCTCTCGCTCCCCCACTGAGCTCACTGTTGCCCTCCTCGAGAAGGAACTGCTTGCAGTTGAGGCGAGCATCGTCGCTGTAGGCACCTCTCGTGGCGACCCCCGCACCCCGTTCTTCGAGGGGTGTTCCCCTTCCCCCCTCCTCCCCTCTGTCGCCTCTGCTGCTGCTGTCGACCTCCTTGGTGCTGAGAAGGTCGGGACCGCGTCTGCTTCGAGCGGGCGCCGCAGGAGCAAGGGAGGCAGGGGTGGGGGTGGTGGCGGAGGAGGTGGGGGTGGAGGCGGTGGGAGTGGAGGCGCGACTGGGGAGGCTAGTGGCGGCAGTGGGGGAGGAGACAGCAGCGGCGGGAGCGGTGGCAGGGGCGGAGGCGGCAGCGGAGGTGGAGGTGGTCGTGGCGGCGGCAGGGGTGGAGGTGGCCGAGGCGGTGGTGGTGGCGGTGGTGGTCGTGGAGGCACTGGCGGAGGCCAGAGTCAGCAGCCCGCCCCGACGCTTCAGGCCGCCCGTGAGTGGTATGCGCAGCGTGGCTTTACCTGCACGTACGTCATTCGCACAGGTGACCGCAGCGGCCAGCAGTGTGGGAGGCCGCACCCCACGCACCGCTGCTTCGCGCGCCTTAACGACGCGTGGCGCACCCAGTTTCCTGATGCCGCTGAGCTGCCGCGCTGGGCTGATCTGGAAAAGAGGGGTGTCGATATTTGGGCTCTAGACTTTGATGCTATTCTCACTGCCATGTATGCCATGTCTATTAGTGGAGAGGGTGCTCAGTACTTGCGTGTTCCGCCCGACCCGGGCATTCAGGCCAGTCCGGCTGCCGCTCTAGGTGCTAGTGCGTCTGCTCCCACAGGTCCTGGTGAGGCTGCTGCCCTAGGTGCTAGTGCGTCTGTGCCCCCTGGTACTGAGTTGACTGCAGCACTACACACCTTCACACTGGACTCAGGTGCCTCTCGCTCTTTCTTTCGTGACCGCACTGTCCTTGAGCCACTCGCTCGGCCAGTTGCTGTCTCCCTTGCTGACCCCTCTGGGGGTCCGGTCATTGCGACCTCTCTCAGAATAACTAGGCAAGAATGGTGTATTGAATGGAAGAATTGGGTACAAGTAGCAAACCCTAGTTGGGGTTGTACCCCATATTGGCTACCCCACTACAGCCTACAAGCATAATACAGTTTAACACACCCCCATAGGCAAGGTGGGGGAGAACAAAGGGTCACAAGACCAGTCCAGCAAAGCAAAGCAAAGCCCAGGGTGGATCACAACGTCACCACACTCCGAGCACAAGTAAAGGCCACAAGGCCAGTTCACATGCAGTGCTAGATATAGTACAAGACAAACAACACAGTGATCAAAACCTAGCAAGCAAGCAACAAGATATATATAAAGTACAGTACAAAGAATGTCAAGCAGTGAGCAAGTGAGGAAACGTGGACACAAGGCCTAAAGAAGTACAGTGCCGCTGATGATCACTAGGCGGGAGCGCCTTGGTGAAGATATCAGCAGTGTTGGCCTTCGAGTCCACGTACACAAGCCGAAGCTGACCGCGCTGCTGAAGCTCTCGAGCAAGAAAGTAGCGAAGAGCAATGTGCTTCGTCCTGTGCTCCAGTCTGTGCTCCTGACACAAGGCAAGAGCCGCCTTGTTGTCACCGTACAGAACTGGAGGAGAACTAGGCCGCTCTCCCAAGTCAGTCAGCAGGTAGGTGAGCCAGCGTAACTCCTGTGCAGCCATGGCTGTGGCGTAGATCTCAGCCTCACAACTAGAGCCGAGAACAGAGGAAGAGCGGGTGGACCGCCACGAGACAGAACCAGAGCCAAGGCTGAAGGTGTAACCCTGTGACGACCGCTGCGTAGCCAGGTCGTCCACCCAAGAAGCGTCCGAGTGACCAGTGAGGACAACTCTGTCGTGTCCTCCAAGCACCAGCCCCATGCCTGATGTACTGCACAAGTAACGCAGCACCCTCTTAGCAGCCTCCCAGTGCTCTCGCCTGTGTCTCCCAGGCGCAACGTAACGAGCAAGGATGCTAAGAGGGTACGCGAGGTCAGGTCGCGTGCAAGTCATCAGGTACATGAGGCAGCCTACAAGCTCTGGGTACGGGCCACTCGGCTCTACGGACTCGTCCGAAGGTGGAGCTGAGAGCGAGTGGCTGGTAGCCAGAGGTGTGGCCTGTGGTGAGGAGAACTGGAAGCCGAAGCGCTGAAGGACCTGCTGCACC